ATCTCTCTGTGTGTTATTGGTCAAGTAGGCTTCAGAAGCCTCCAAAACAGTACAGGCTATTTCCATTTCTCTTATTTACTTGCCATAACTAGCTAATATAACCCGATTGCTGAAGACACCATACACTTTTGTTGTAGGACATGAACAAATCAAGAATGAATTCACCAAGAAAGCTTCTCCTAGAACTAGCTTCCATGGTGCAGGAAGGTGCCTAGCAGAGTGCTGGAGAAGAGACACCAGTGGTCTTACCCAGCACCAGGCCGTGCCTGCTAGAATACAAATCTACCAGGCAAGGTGTACCCATTGGTATAATAGTGGCATGCTTGTTATGGGCATAATAACTGCTTTCCAGTTGGATTTGAAACCTGTTCTACAGGGGAGAACTTGTGCCTCCATGGTTGGGTAGGCCATAGGCCTTAGTGGGTAACTTACTACTGCTGTTTTTCTAAATGTTTATGTGCCAAGTTACCTCTAAATATTTCCATTTTTATTCATAGATTAGTGCTGCTCTCAAGCATGGTCAGAGAAGTTTTAATATCAAATACATTCTATTGTCCCTTACTTTTGTCTTCTCTTCTGAGCTCTTTCTGACTTCTGGCCTATACAGAAACTCCAAAATTAAACCAGAAGTCTAAAATAATCTAGCTGGGATCCATGTATGAGAAAGAACACATAACACTTGTTAATCTAGAGACCCGATCAAAGAGCTAAGAATAAGTGGCTGTTGAGTGCTTGGCTGTAAATGGGACATCTGCATCAGCCCCACCCCAGTGTACTCCCAAGACTTAGAAGCTTCCGCCCTACTCTTCTCTGTCCACAATCTGTACTGGAACTACAGTACAGGGACTCAAAAGAGGTCTGAGTCTTGTTCCCTTCATTTTCAAACCTCCTTTCTTCTCTCTCTCCCCCTTCTCTTTCTGTCTCTCCCTCTTCCAACAAAACCTCTGTTTGAGGTTTACTGTTCTTGAGGCCTTATTTGGAGTTCTGGCAGGAAAGTTCAATTGCTCCTCTACCCATGGCAGAAGAACAGTCCTCCATCAGGGAAGGTTGTCTTCTTGGACCAAGTTCACAGCTTCACAAGGAAACACATGGAACTATAAGGAAGTAGACAGTATCCTAGCCAGCCACATTAGTCAAACCCATTTTCATGACCTACGGGAGGACTGATATTGTGGTTCTACACCTCTCTCCTCATATCTGGATTCCCTGCTCTTGTTATCTAGACTCTGTTTTTATATTTGTTAATGAACTTTGTCCACTGGAAGAGGGCTGTTAAGTTTGATCAATGGTGATATGCCACAAAATCAGAGACAGTGACAGAGAACCTTCAGGAGGCAGAGGCTGTAAGTGACATTTCATCTCATGAAGTGTCACTGACAGCTAGAAGGAAGCCTACCCACTGACTAAGCAGCACATTTTTCCACCTAATACCAACCCATCACATCCATGTAACTCCCAGTTCAATACCTGTTTACCTTTGTCATCTTTTTAGGACCTCCATATTAATCCAAGATATGAAGTCGTGTTATTTACTCCCCTTTGCAGATGCGAACATTGAGAACCAGAGAACAAGGTTGACTTCTACAAATCACAGAGCAAAATGAATATTTGGCCATAGCAGAGCCCAACCAAGATGGATAAGTCAGACTTTCATTCACACAGACATTGAAGAACTGAGGAAATCCCCATTCAGTATCTTCATCAAACCTGACTTGTTAATCATGACATCATTATCCCTGTATTCATGAAGCATGCTGTTCATACCCATTATGGACTTCTTAGCTTTAGTGTTGTTCATTTTTATTTTCAAAAGTCTATAGGGGACGAAGACAATGATTTTCCTAACACTCTTCCCTGATCATTTCTAGCCTCTTCTATCAGTACCACTCTTCCCCCCAAGCAGTTAACCCCCCTCTATGTGTGTGTCCTCTACATATGAGAGGACACTTGCAACATTTGTCTTTCTGAATCTAGATTATTTTATTAGCACAATGGCCTCCAGGACTATCCATTTTCCTGCAGATGACATACTCTTCCTTGAGGCTAAACAAGACTCTGTTGTGGATACAGGTCACATTTTTTTGTCTTCTTGGTTGTGAGCCTAGCCCTTAATGGCTGAGCTATCACTCTAGCTCTATGGGCTACATTTTCTTGGTCCATTCATCCCTCTCTAGTCATTCATGGGTGTCCAGGCTGATTCTATGTATGTTGGTTATTGTGAATAGTGCTTCTTGCTGTTATTTCCTGAGCTACTGGAGTGCAGTCCAGAATGTCCTTGTCTAGTGTTTCCCCCATGTGTTCTTGCAGCTTCAAAGCTTCAAATTTTGCATCAGTGTCTTTGGTTCATTTTATAAAATCGGAATCTATCTGAATCTATAGATTGCTTCTGGAAGGATGGTCATTTTCACAATCACCCTCCCAACACATGAGCATGGGAGGTCTTTCCAGTTCCCGATATCCTTTTCTTTGGTGTTCTAAAGTTTTCATTGTACGAGTCTTTCATTTTCCTGGCTAGGTTGACTTCAGAGTCATTTCTGAGGCCATTGCTATCAGAACTCTTATTTAAAGTGTGACCTAAGTGGATGGAGCCAGGGAGGAAGAGCAGGTAGCATAACCTGTGTGTCTGTGTCACTTTTGGTGCATAGAGAGTCCCTGGTGGGGTGGGCTGTGATCAGGGAGGGCACAGGAGTCCTGGTGGGGTGGGCTGTGATCAGGGAGGGCACAGGAGTCCTGGTGGGGTGGGCTGTGATCAGGGAGGGGACAGGAGTCCCTGGTGGGGTGGGCTGTGATCAGGGAAGGGACAGGAGTCCTGGTGGGGTGGGCTGTGATCAGGGAGGGCACAGGAGTCCTGGTGGGGTGGGCTGTGATCAGGGAGGGGACAGGAGTCCCTGGTGGGGTGGGCTGTGATCAGGGAGAGGACAGGAGTCCTGGTGGGGTGGGCTGTGATCAGGGAGGGAACAGGAGTCCCTGGTGGGGTGGGCTGTGATCAGGGAGGGCACAGGAGTCCCTGGTGGGGTGGGCTGTGATCAGGGAGGGCACAGGAGTCCCTGGTGGGGTGGGCTGTGATCAGGGAGGGAACCAGGAGTCCCTGGTGGGGTGGGCTGTGATCAGGGAAGGGACAGGAGTCCTGGTGGGGTGGGCTGTGATCAGGGAAAGGACAGGAGTCCCTGGTGGGGTGGGCTGTGATCAGGGAGAGGACAGGAGTCCCTGGTGGGGTGGGCTGTGATCAGGGAGGGCACAGGAGTCCCTGGTGGGGTGGGCTGTGATCAGGGAGGGCACAGGAGTCCCTGGTGGGGTGGGCTGTGATCAAGGAGGGCACAGGAGTCCCTGGTGGGGTGGGCTGTGATCAGGGAGGGCACAGGAGTCCTGGTGGGGTGGGCTGTGATCAGGGAGAGGACAGGAGTCCCTGGTGGGGTGGGCTGTGATCAGGGAGAGGACAGGAGTCCTGGTGGGGTGGACTGTGATCAGGGAGGGAGATAGGTCAGGTAGATCTTCTGGTCTCTGGACAGCAGCCATGGTTATTAGATCGTCATTCCACATATGATGGCTACAGCTGAAACACAAAATATTATGGAGTATTTGTCTAAGTACTAAGAGGGTGAATCACATGATTTTAAGGTTTTCATTTACATATGTTTCTAAATTATAAATACTGCAACAGGGAATATTTTCTGAATTATTGCTTTAAAACCTCTAGTTAGTCAGTTTCTTGGGGTAAATTCCTGGGGGAATTCCAAATAGTTGAGAAAACTGAGCTGTAATTTTTAGCATAGAAACACAATAGGGGTCCAGTAAACCACTTGTTGGTTGAGGAAATTGTTTTGTTAGATGAACACAAACTGGGAAGGTACTGGCTTAAGTCTTTGTTATTATTAAGCATGTCATTATGCTATTGATGCTTTGGTGGTTCTGGTGCCGGGAGGACTGAACCTGTACCACTCACCAATACTGCAGCATCTCCCTTCAATTTCTGTGGAACCCTCTGAGATGCAGACTCTGAATCAGTTATTTGTTCTATGGCGCCACCTTCTGGGAGAAACAGTCATCAGATTGTGTGGTTCCAGGTGTGCTACAAGGGTTGAGATGATCAGCAGAGGGAGCCATTGAGCGAAGGTTCCCACAGGGGGAAGATGAAGAGGAGAGTTAACTTGTCCCTATATTGTTAAGTGGCACGTGTGTAGAGGCCAGCTCAAAGGTCTGGACTTCTCAGTAGAGTTACTTCTGGGAGGCAGTTGGCTATTTCCTAATGGTAAAAACTTGTCCTAGCACTTTTCTGTGCCCGTCATACATCACCCAGGCCACCAAAGCAACTTTTTAGCTCTTTCCACACAGAAAGCCAGGTTTCAGCAAGGCTAGGTGCACAGAGCCTTCACCTTCCATCTGCCTGCTGCCTAGAGCTTTGTTCCTCTAAGTATTTGTGGACACCCTGTCAACTCCATGCCCAGAGCAGACTATGTAGCTCCACACCTCCAAGCCTTTGCTCAGGTGGTCACCTCTACCTAGAGCTCCTCCATTCAATAGAACAGCTTAAAATTTCTCTTCAAGACACCACTTCTATAAGTAAGTCTTCCTAAATTTCTCTGGGAGAAGGTAGTCCTTGTTGGATGCCCTGAGTGTCCTCTAGTTGCTCAGAGTACATGGTACACATGTATAACTGTTAGCCCCACCCCTTGAGTTAGCTGGCCCAGTGTCTTATTCATATTGCCAACAAAGGACCTGGCATGCTTCAAGTACTCATGAAAGAGTTGTTGAATGACTGGATGAGTGTGATTCATTACTGTAGACTTTGGAGGTTCACTAATTGAGGGATGGTGTCCAAGGAAGATGTTTTTAAGTGTGGCCTTGGAGCTGGGGGGTGAGGGGAGGAAGGAAAGCTCTGATGGGAGGTTGTGTCTGGATAATGAGACCTTTTGTGACTCTTAGGTGTTTCAGATCCTGGAGGTAGGTCCCTAAAACCAGCTGAGTTTATCTTAGTAAGGGGTGTGATGATGTCATCCCAGGAATGCAGTTAAGGTTTGGTCCTGCTATAGGAGAACCTGTGGAGAGTCACATACTGGCTGTCATAAATGAGTAGACCAGGAATGGGCAGGATGTCCAGCATGGTGGGAGTTCCCCTGCTCAGAAGGCTGCCTTTGGTCTGATTTCCAGGATCACGAAGAGGCTAAGCTGTGGATGCTGAGCAGCCTGGCACTGGCACTGAGAGCAACAGGTCAGTTCCTCTTCCAAGGCATCTTGGGGGTAGTGTGGGCTGTGCTGGGTGTGTGCATCTCCTGGAGAGCAGAGACCTTCAGCTTGCCTGTTTTGGAGAACATGTTCAGTATGGAGAGCATCCCATGATGGAACTGTCGCCCCAATGTGGCTTAGAATCCCAGAGGACAAGCATGTCTTTGGGCTTGTCCACAAACACAAAGATTTGAGGACAAATATAGGTGTAGTGATTGTGTAATCTTGGTAAATTCCCTAACCTCTTTGGATGTCATTTTCCCTTTAGGAGAATGAGGTAGTGATGCTCAACTCCTCAGGGCCCTGTGTGGATTAAATGGGATAATGTACAAGATGCTTTGCCTGTAATCTAGCTGGGGACATGGGGCTGTTTGTGCAGGAAATAGGGAGGGCAGCAGCTCTCTGTTACCTCTGCTTCTGTAGGAAGTTTGGAGTAAGAGACCATGGGCATCAGATGGACAGTGCATAGAGCTGTGAGAAGGCCCCAGGATTATAGAAACCTTGCAGGGAAGGGGGATATCAGTGCCTAGGGACCATATGCCAGATGGTGGTGGGGACAAAGGGGTCAATGCCTATACTGTCTGTGTGCTCCAGTGAGAAAGAAAACACACAAACAGCACAATGCCCAGCCTGATTCTCCTGTGCAGTACAATTATTTTAGTGTTCTGCTAGTCTCATAAAGTAGTTTACTGTAGGGGAAGGGATCTTGCCTTTTCAAGGATATCAGCAATCAACATTATCACTGTCAACAACAAAAGCAGTACCTTGCCTCAAACCATCTTTTGTTCTGTTCTTGACTATTAGGAGGAAGGGACTCGGTCTGAGAAGAGGCAGGAAAGTTGAGGGCAGAGACACTGAACCAAGTTCCCATGGGGCCAGTGAAAGCATGAGGAAGCCCCCTTTCTGACAGTGCAGGAAAGTGGGCAGGAAGGCAGATGTTTCCAGGAGGAAGAGTCCACCCTGTTCTGGACCTCTGCAGATCGGGTCCTGCTCTCTCCCCACAGACTTCCCTCCTCCTGTGCTCTGCAGATTTGACCTGCGGGGCCCAGCAGTCATGCCAGACACACCAGTGGAGGACTCCCTCTTCCAAATCATACACTGCTTCCACCACTATGCCTCCCGGGAAGGGGACGTGGAGACCTTGTCCCTGGAGGAGTTGAAAGCCCTGCTCCTGGACAGTGTGCCTCGCTTCATGGACACCTTGGTGCGTCAGGTCTGGGGTTGGAGTGGGAGATAAAGAGAGGACCAAAGCGCTCAGAACGTGCTGTTGGTGGGGTTGGAAGTGAGTGGTGAGGTGCTGGAAGGAGCTGCCTCCCGCAGGAACCTCCTGGATGGAAGAGGTTCTCCTTCTGGGGAGGGTGTGCCTCTGGCAGCGTTTGCTTTATGTCCTGTCCTTCCCTCCTCTGAAGTCACCTGCTTGGTTTCACTCGAGTCCTCGAAGAACTAGTCTCTGACGCTCCAGCCTGACACCACACCTGCTGTTTCTGCTGCCTCCTGTATCCTGTGAGCATGGGCTCAAAGCTCTTCTCTGTGCCCCAAACTCAGACTCTCTGTGAGCCTAAGCCCTTTCACCGGTGCTGCCGCCACCAGCCTGGAGTGGGTAATTTAGGCTGTGGAGGCTGCCCTAGTCTGGTGGGCATGGGAGCTATAAGCTCCTCCACTTCTCAAGGCTTGGGCTTCTTAGAGCTGGATGGGACCAGCCCCAGAGCCTGGGCTTACAGAGCCTGCTCAGCCAGTCTGTCATCAATTCCCAACTACTGTGATTCTTAGGGACTGCAGCACTGAAGCAAAGTCTAATGCTGTCTTCTGAACTCTGTGTCCCAGGCTCTATCTGGCCTGCCATCTCTAGAGGAAGTGGGGCTCAACTCAGTCCTGTAAAATATCATCTTCGTTTACCTCCTTTTGAGAAAGAATGTAAAAGACAACCCCATTCTCTCTGCACTGTTCCTTGGAGAGCTCAAAAAACAGCCTGGGTGGATGTGTGCTTTAATTATTTTTGGGAACTCCTTTCCCTTCGGGAACTGCTTGGCAGCTGTCCTGGATGGCCTAGGCCTACAGTCATGGAGCCTGAGGTCTGCCTTTGCTGCAGGGTTCTTGGGGATAGACATAGGGGCATGGCTGGCAGAGTTGGTAAGGATGAACATTGATGAGGGCTCTGATTTTCTTTGGTTAGGAAACTTTGTGGGTGGGATGGGGTTATAGGATGGTGGAACTTTCACGGGGAGAGAAACTGATGACCCTCTCACAGGGATGAGAGACTGCCCTCTAGGTCTGCAACTTCTTACAAATGCATTACCTTCCTCTCCTCCAGTGCTTCCCAGATGTTCTATTCTGTACTTGAGTGTGCTTGCACCCACCAGGAATACCTGGTTGAAACATGCTTTTCCCGCCACTCCCTAGTTCTCAGCCATGCCTACCTGTCTCCATCTCTCTTCTCTCAAAATAAGAAACCCAACTTTCCTCACGCTCGTCTCCCCATCTCAAGCAGCCCCTCCCTGAGCCATTCTGATCTTCAGCTGTAGGGGCCTCTGCTCGCACACCCTGGACAGCTCCAGTGGCCATTTCTCTGTCTTTCCCTGTTTCCTGTACTCTATAGTTGAACCAGGTAGAGTTTCACAAACAATGCCTAAGCAGGTAACACTGCACACAGAGATACAGTTTGCTTGGAGATGGTCCTGCAGTCACATGGGAGATGTGCGTGTGCACAGAGACAGGTGGCTCCCCCCCTTGAAGGAGCTCTCGGTGTGGAGAAAGGAGGCAGTGTCTTGCCTTCAGGAAGCCTACAAAGGTGTCTCTCTAGGAGAGCTTGCAGTGTAGCTGGGAAGACAAGGCACAGCCACCGTGTGTGTGTGTGTGTGTGTGTGTGTGTGTGTGTGTGTGTGTGTAGACTGCTGAGGGCTGTTCTGGAACTGCTCACAGGTCTCCTGTGAAAGGGCCAGGTTTGGTCTCTTGTTCATGCCTATGCCACTCTAGGTCTGGTGGCCCAAGGTGTCCACCCACACCTGTGCCTCTTCAGCCTGATTTTGTAGCATGTGGTGATCTTGCCACTGACACTCCGTGTGAGGGCTTGTTTCCTGAATGCCCCTTGTAGGGGGACGGTGCTGCTGGGCTCTTTCCATGTCCAGTAGGAGGAGGGGTCTGGAGGATGGTGTACTGGGTGCTCAGTGGGCATTGATCTTCTTTGTATTCCTCAGGGCCGCAGGCAGCCATACTACATCACAGAGCTGTTCCGGGCAGCTGACAAAAACAAGGACAACCAGATCTGCTTTGATGAGTTCCTGTACATCTTGGGCAAACTGGTGAAGGACTATCACCTGCAGTTCCACCGGCAACTGTGTGCACACTACTGTGCCCAGCACAGCCTCTACTAGAGGGAGGACGGCCAGTCCTCCATGGGAGTCTGTCCGGGGAGGTGTGGCCTGACCAAGGGTGGCTTGCAGAACTGAGCCATATATTTCTTCCTATGTGCGCACACATGTGTACAAACAATATAGCAAATATTTCTGGGAAGTACTCAGGGCATGGGTCTGGGCAACCACCAATGTTCAGTAAAAGATGTTTAGCCTTTGCTACATGGAGCATCATTTGGGTCAGGAGACATGGTTCCTGCCTTAGGTGATCCCTTGCTTGGTCTGGGAATACTGGCCTTGAATCCAAGGTACCTTTATCTGCTGCAAGAGACACAACTTTGCTAACAGAAATCCTATCTGAGGTGTGAAATGGCCCTGTAAGGAAGGGGCTCTTCTCTGGGCCACGACACTCTCAGAGAAGGAAGTGAGGCCTCCCAGTGGTGTTACTGATCATACAGTCACTGTGTATGTGGGATAGCAGGAGGGGAGCCACATGGATGATGGTGCAGAGATGGGTGCTTCCATGAGTCTGTATGCACAGGAGATTGGCCTGGTTCTGGCAAGAACCAGGAGACGGGGAGGAGGTGTTTTAAGAAGACACAATAGCAGTGGAGACTCAGGTGGCATGTCTGAGACAGCAGAGAGCTGCCTGGAAATGAACGTCCAAGGGGAACTTGTGAGCTTCGTTTACTCAGGTGGATACTGGGATGTGGATTTTATCATTGAAAATGGGGTAGTGGAATTCGGGTATCTTAGAGGACGCATCAGGTGAGGAGAACTTGGAGACTCAATAAGGGGCTCCTGCCCATTCTGGACAGGTGCAGAGCAGACAGGTCAGCAGTAGCTGCCCATAGGGACAGAAGGAACCAAGGAGAGAAGCAAAGGCATGTAAAAGTAAAAGTCCCAGTCCCCAAGGGCAGATTGGGGAGAGAAGGGTTCCATAGTGAGACACAGGGAGCTGCCATTGGTGATCCTGGGGAAGATGATGCTGGTTATTGACCTGGGCTTGACCCGTGTCAGCATGGGAGCCAGTGTGCTAGGGAGTGCTAGGTTTTGTGTATGTTGAGTCAGAGGGGCAAGGCAAATACTGGCAAAGCCAGCCCCACAAAGCAGCAGACAACTGCCACGGGAAGAATGATGAACAGAAGCTGGGAGTTGCCAATCAGGCAAGGCTTCCTGGAGGAAAGAGGGGTTGGGTGTGGTGATGACTGGTGTTTCTCCTGGTTCTGAGCTATTCATGACTCGATGGGCCAAGTCCTCCTGTGGGTCCTGCCCTCCTGACTGGTACCTGTTGCTGCCCGATTGTGCCGCTCTTCTCTTTCTTCCCAGAAGCCCAGAGATCAGGGAGGAATCCCCTAGGAAGGGTTTCTTTGCCTCCAGGCATTTTTAGTGCCCATCTTGGTGACCTGTCTCTTCTGAAGACTCCAGGTCCTGAGTTTTCTGATAGCAGGGACTCATCACATTGATTTCCTTTGGGCAGGTATTTGCATCCCTTTCCCTGCGAGGTCTAGTCCCGTAGAGGAACATTCTTCCATCTCTCTGCAACTGGCCTAGTGTCCTCATGTGACAGGTTCAGCAGGTGTTTGGGGAAGGAAATCAGGAAGGGGACCCATGGAACTGAAGTCTAGTGACTTAGACCTATGACTCTCCTGTGACACCTCTTGATCATCTCCAAGAGCCAGTGTCCTGGGTCACTCAGCTACTCTTCCTCAGGGCCCAGGCAGGTCCTGCTTGTTACATGGAGGGGTGGTGGGTCACATGACCTTTCAAGGTCACTGAAGCTCTGGCAGCCTGAGTCCTCAGCACCTACCCCACTCCACCTGGCAGTTTCTCCACCAGTCTTGCTTCCTCTGCCCTCATTTCTTCAGACCCTGGCTATTGAGACACGGACCCGGGGACACAATCTTTTCCTGTAAACACAGGAATCATTTAGATTGCTCCATATTGTCAGGTATTTACAAATTCTGCCTTTCCTCCAGCATGCTCACTTCCTTCTTTAATTGAACTCAGAGGTCATAACCAGTGTCCCATGTCAGATATGGTCACCCATCCCCAATAAGCCGATGAAAAGAGGAAGATTATAAGTGGAAAACATAAAAAGGAGATTTACTTATGTGGCCACGTTGGAAGAAGGACCAAGAGACTCAATGAACTCCTGCAGTAAGATCAAAACTTAAATAGAGGTCCAAGGATACCCATGTCAGAGCAGTCCTAGTCCAGGTGTGGTCCTGCCTGTTACTGATCTGGGCTTCAGTCCGTCCTGTAAGGTGGTCTGAGAAGTGACTAGGATGGTGTGAAATCTCTTCTAGAGTCAGCTGCCCCCACCCTGGCTGGTGCCTTTCCCTTCTCCCACTGTGAGCCCCTCTTTCCATTTCTTTGGGATCCATTGTTTCAATCGTCCAATAGGTTGAGGGACACAAAGTGTTTCTTTAGAATGTCTTTGTCTCCACCAAACAAGTTGTGTCCTCAGCACACACAAATGGTTCCTGCTGTCAGACAACCCTGCTGCTCACTTAGAGGGAATCGTATCTGGTGGTGAGCGTTCACAGGCCCATTAATTATCCTACTGGAAGTGCTGGCAGAAGCCTTCATTAATGGACACCTTTAGGTTCAAGGAAGCTGAGGAAAGATGTTGAGTAGCACATGTGCCTCAGTTTCCTTATCTGCTAGGTTTCTGGGACTATCAAAGGAAACAGAAGATGTAAACATACTTAGAAAAGAGATGGTAAGGTGGTTTATTCTAAATCATATAAAACAGTGCCTGCTTGGGAATACGTATGATTATTGCTTGAAATCTTGTGATATAGCATTGAGAAAAACATCCTATTTTCCTACCCAAACATCAGCTTACCTCTTGTTATGGTGGATGTATACCATCCTTATTAAAAAAAAAAAGACATGATGTGGCTGAATGTGATAGTTATTGCATTGGACAATGAATAAAGGCTTGGGTAGAACAGACGGTTGACTGCACTGTTGGGGAGGACAAAGGGCCAGGATGGATAGTGCAGATAGCACTTAGCTGGATGGCTAAATAAAGAACTTGTCAGGAGAGGCATTTCAGGCTATGGAGGAAATAGATGCTGTCACATCACGTCCTAAGCCACCTCAATCCCAGTGTCTCTCTCATGTTTCCTTTGTACAATGGGTTTGTAATAACATGTGCCCCATAGGATTGAGAGTTAAGCTGGTTGATGTAAGTAAAGCATTGGGGAAGTCTTCACAATGGCACACACCCAGTAATTGTCAGCTATTAGCCTCCACTATTCACTGCTATTACAGTTGTGTCTGCTGCATGTCTGTCACTGTGCAGGGCTGTGGTCAGCTAACAATGCCTCAAGTGAGACAAGCAGAACAGGCTGAGTAACCCAGGCTCCTGTATCTCTGACACTACCAAGAAGTGATCAGGAGCCCTAGGTAGGATATACATCCAGATCTCAGCCATGCGGGCCCTCTTCCCAAACTTCTTCCTGTAGCACCCGATGAGCCCAAGGTGGCATGGGACCAGATTTGGGGACTTGGCTTATTGATTCTTGCTCTGGAGGTCCACTGTTTAGTTACAGGATCAGCCACAGATCCGTGACACGCTCATGGCTGCCCTTCCTTCTCAGTTCTTACACCTGTAGGAGCACTTTGTATGTGTATGTGCGAAGTCTCTCTCCTCCCCTCCCCTCCCCTCCCCTCTCCTCTCCTACCCTCCCCTCCCCTCCCCTCTCCTCCCCTCCCCTCCCCTCTCCTCTCCTCCCCTCCCCTCTTCTCCCCTCCCTTCTCCTCTCCTCTCCTTCCCTCTCCTCTCCTTTCCTCCCCTCTCCTCCTCTCCCCCTCTCTTTCCTGTCTGTTTGGGTTTTTGACATATCACTCATTATGCAGCCCAGGCTTGCCTTGAATTCATGGCATTTCTCCTGTTTCAGTCTTCCTGAATCTTGGAATTAGACACATTTGCCACTACATCAAGCTGTGTGTGTGTAAGTTTTTTTCTTAATAAAAACATAGTTCACATTACTAATAATGTACAATAGTGTACAATAACAATAGCAAGTTATATCCTAGGGCTTTTGACCATGGTTACAATACCAGGCATGAAGTTCCTTCTGTGGAGCAGGCTTTAAAATCCAGTTAGAAAATGGCCAGCTAAGGCAACAGTAATGATCAGAGAAACTTCCTTTTGCAGAGAGTGGCAGCCAATGCAAAGATGCTTAACTGTCAGAATACTGAGGATAAGAATCTGAGTGCTTATTATTATCGACCCCATCCCTGCCTATGCTCAGGCAACACTGAAGAAGAGAAGGCAGAAAGGAAGGAAGAGCTAGAGCATTCGAGACAACTTTATGCCAACTTATAAGCTAGAGTCATTTTGGAGGAGGGAACCTCAGTTGGGAGAATATTGAGTGGCCTGTGTGCACACTTGAGGCTCCTTTCCTTGATTGATGATTGAAGTGGGAAGGCCCAGCTCTCTGGGTGCCATCCCTGTGCAGGTGGTCCTGGATGGTATAAGAAAGCCACAGGGAGCAAGCCAGTAAGCAGCACTTCTCTGTGGCATCTGCATCAGTTCCTGCCTCCAGGTTCCTGCCTTGAGTTCCCTGAAAAATGGACTACAGGTTGAAAGATGAAATAAAGCCTTTACTTCCCGAGTTGCTTTATCACATGGTGCTTGCCACTGTAATAGAAGCACTAAGACATGGAGGGTAGGGAGCAGTGCTATGAAATGCTGTCTTCTGGACATGATGTGGATGTCATGTTCATGAACTCTCATTAAGATGTGGTCACCTCTGCAACACACACACAAGATCAAGCCAGATGAATGGACGGATAGAGGGGACCCACCCCCTTTACTGAAGAGCTTTTGCCTACCTCCTTTACCCAGCCCCCACCCTTTACTGAAGAGCTACTGGCAGTGGGTAGCTTCATTCTGAGGGTATGACCGTTGGTAGGTTTCCCACACCTTACACTCTTACACATACATACAGGCATCGTTGATTGGACTTATTAAAATAAAAGTTGACAACATAAAGTTTGGAGGGAGAGGATTTTTGAGGTACAGGGAAGTTAGAGGGGGTAAAATGGAGAGTGTATTGTTGCTAGAGTTTTTCTTTCCAGTGTGGTCCCATAGCTTTTTAGCCCTAAAGAAACACATGGACCCTATATTAATTATAAAACTGTTGGCTGATGGCTAGGACTTCTTATTGGCTATCTCTGTCTTAATTATTAACCAATAGCTATTAATCTATGTATTTCTACATGGCCTTATCTTGCCAGACAACACCTATCCTCCTGGTCTCTGCATGGCGTCCCTTTGTGGTGCCTCTCTCTGCCTACCTTTCCCAGAATTCTCATCTCCTAGTCCTGCCTATCTTCTTGCTTCTATTGGTCAAACTGTTTTATTCACCAACCAATAAGAAAAAATATAACAGAAGGACATCCCCCATCAGTGTATATGATACTTTATTGTATATGTATATGAAATTCCCAAAGAATAAAATGAAAAGAATGTTACTCTCTGTTATGCTGCTGACCAGTCTCCATGGATGGTCCCACACCCATGTGTGTGTGAGCAGCACCAATCGGTCTTAGTGCTAGGGACCTTAGGGCCTCTTAGAAAAGAGGGCATGGAGTTGGGAGGGGAACATGGGAAAGATGTAGGAGGAGTTAGAGTGTGAAGTAGGGAGGGCATATGATCAAAATACATCCTCAAAAAGTAAAGAAGTCATGAGTGTTATGAACATGGTGTGAGGTGAGACTTGGTGGGAAACCCCATGGTGCGTGAGAGACAAATACTCCATCAGGTAGGGCTTATGTGGAAAGTTTATTGAGAGAAGGTAAGGGAGTAATGGAAGAGGAGAGAGAGAGAGAGAGAGAGAGAGAGAGAGAGAGAGAGAGACAGAGACAGAGACACAGAGAGAAACAGAGAGGGCTGCTTCCTCAGAGAAACAGCAGAAATAAGAAAGTGGGTGGAGCTTGTCTCTTAAGGGGCTTTTGTACCTACATACAGAGCCTGATATGTGTGCCAGGTTCCCAGGGGGCAGGGCCAGGTTTGTGTTTGCCTGGATAGTAACAATGAGTCATATATTCCCATAGAAAAATGTTCCTTTATTTTTATTTATAATTTTTAAATTAAAAATTTTACACAGTGTATTTTGATCATGATCTTTCCCCTGACAACTTTTTCTTATCCACCAAACTTTGTGTGAGATTCCATCTTACACCTGTTGGAGTGGCTAAGACCAACAACACAAATGATGTGGAACAAGAGGAACACTCCTTCATTGCTGGTGGGAGTGCAAACTTGTACAGCCTCTGTGGAAGTCAATATGATGGCTCCTTAGAAAATTGGGAATTGATTACCTCAAGACCTAGCTATACCACTCCTGGGCATATACCCAAAGGACACCCCATCCTACCACAAGGACATTTGCTTGACTATGTTTATAGTGGCTTTATTCATAATACCCAGAAGCTGGAAACAACCTGGATGTCCCTCAGCTGAAGGAAGGATAAAGAAAATGTGGTACATTTACATAATGGAATAGTACTCAGCTATTAGAAAAAAATGACATCATGAAACTTGTAGGCAAATGGATGGAACTAGAAAAAAAATCACTTATAAGTGGATATTAGCTGTTCATTAAAGGGTAATTACACTAAGATCCACAGACCAAGAGAAGTTAGATAAAGAGGAGAGGTCTGGGGGAGGGTGCATGGATCTCCCTGGGAAGGGGAAATAGAATAGATTTCATGGGTGGATAGGGGTGGAGGACAGGTGGGGATCAGGTGGGAGAGGGATGAATGGAGGAAGAGTACCGAGAGAGTCAACTGCAACTGGGAGCATTTAGGAGGTGATATGGATACCTCGTGCAGTGGAAACTTTCTAGAATCTATGAGGGTGACTCCAGGAAGGACTCCTAGTAACGGAGGATGTAGAGCCTGAACCAGCCATCTTCTGAACCAGATAAGACTTTCAGTAGTGGGATTGGAACACCAACTCAGCCACAAAATCTATGACCCACAATGTGCTCTGCCTGCAAGATGTGCTTGGGGTAATGGTGGCTCAGAGCTTGTGGGAGTGGCCAATTGATGACTAGTCTAACCTGAGGCCCCTAGTATGAGAGGAAGCCCAGGCCTGGCACTCAGAAGCTGGACGGCTCAGAGACCTAGGTTAGAACCAAAGACTACTGACCAAAAAAAAAAAAAAAAAAGTTAATGAGATTATTCCTAAGGACATTCTGCTATATTCATAGGATAGACTCAGTGCCTTGTCCAATGCCATCAGAGAGGCTTCCTCTAGCAACTGATGGGAGCAGATGCAGAGACCCACAGCCAAACAAACATTAGGCAGAGCTTGGGGAACTCTTCAGAGTGGAGGAGGAGGAAGGATTGTAGGAGCCAGAGGGGTGGAGGACACCAGAAGAACATGGCTCAGGACCCCGAGGGCAGGCCAGTACAAATGCCTGAATACTAACAGGGATTTCTCTTTTCCTCCTGCTGGGTTGCCTAATACAGCCTTTGATATGAGGGTTTGTTCCTAATCTTATTGCATCTTTTTATGCCGTTTGGTTGATATGCCTGGGAGGCCTGCTCTTTTCTGAAGGGAAATGGAGGGGGAGTGGGTATGGGGGAGAGGGAGCTGGGAGGGTGGGAAAAGTGGAGGGGGGGGAACTGCTGTCAGGATATATTGTATGAGAGAAGAAGAAGAAGAAAAAGAAGAAGAAAAAGAAGAAGAAGAAGTAGTAGGAGGAGGAGAAGAAAAAAAAAAAGAAGACAAACAAAAAACAAAATCCCAACAACTTAAAACCCAAAACAAAAACAAACAAGCAAAAGACCAGTGAGACAAAAAAGTTATACAGATAAAGCAAAATGAGACAAAAAAAAAAAATGGCAAAAATACCATTGAGTTCATTTTGTGGTAGCCAACTACTGCTCCTGGGTGTGGAGCCTGCTCTCAAGTGCCAGCTCAAGCTGGATCACAGAGCTATAAAAAAAGTGGCTTAATGGGATCCACTGGACAGTGGAAACTGGAAGGAGAGAGGTTAATCTGTTCTCTTCTCCAGGAAACTGTTACTTGGGTCATTACAGTAGCAATCACCACCATCACAACCACCACCACCCAGGCAAAAGCAACTTAAGCAAGTGTTTATTCTGGCTTCCAATTTCAGAGCATATAGTCGGTCAGAGCGGGAATGCGAATGCATGCGTGGTGGAAAGAGCAGGAGGTAGCTGTTACATTGTGTCCCGTCAGGAAGCAGACAGAAAGGGTGTATTTACTCAGCGCTTCCTGTGTCTCCAACAGGACCTCAGCCTATGGGAAGCACTGCCTACGTTTAAGGGGGCTCTCCCTCCCTTAATTAATCTGATTTAGACAATCCCTCGAAGACATACCCAGAGATTTGGTTTCATGGTTTTCTGAATCTCATTGAGCTGACAGACAACACCAACAGTCACAGCTCTGATGACCTGGGTGCTCGTGTGGCACAGGATTGGTATCTGAGTACTTAGAGGAAGGAAAGAGGCGAGGAATTTCCCCCACTGTCTCCTGTTCTTGTCAGACTATGCTAGGACTCGGAAACTAACACACCTGCACTGGGAAATCAGATGATTCCCTCCACCGTTCTTGGCTGCAGCTTCCTCGTCTGTACACAGGCTGGTTCAGTGCACTGCCTTCCTGATAGCCAGTTACTTCAAGTGGCATCTTACTGGGGCTAGGGGATCACTCTTATGAATTCCTGGAGATGGGCACCCCTTCTTCCCTTGTGCATGAGACACATAAGGATTCTCCAAACATACTTTACCCCTCACTATCCTAGAGTAGACTCCTCTCTTCATCCCAGGCTCCTGAGGTCCAAGGCACAGTGACCATTCTGAAAGGGTGGAAGGGTGTAAACATGCTGTGACGCAGCGGTTTCTGCAGGGTAGATAGATAGAAGAGTAACACTTACATCCCAAGGCTCGGGACATCCCTAGCTTTCAGAACAGAATGATCATGAAGGGTCGTGCAGGTCAGGAACTGGTCCAACCCCTGGGAAGAAAGCTTTCCCCCCAAGACTCCACCCACCCATCCAGATACAAGCTCATTTCAGTACTCCAAACTGTACTAAAATCCAGTATCTAGGACCAGCGTTAAGGTTTAAGGTTTCTGAGGTCTTTGATACTTAGAGAACCTGGTGGAAACAGTCTCTTCTATGCATCCACACTCTCACAGCAGCACCCAGTGTCAGAGATGGTAGACTGGACACAAAGGTGATAAATCAGCAGTGGCAACAGAGCGGAGGGCTAAGAATGGGAGTCTGTCTGGACACGGGGATGGAGTGCCAGGGTCCCAGAAAAGGACTGATTGCCATGCCCCATCTTGGTTCTTCCTGCTGGGCTCCTGTCTGATAAATGTTTTCCCTGCCCCAACACTTCCACTTCCTCAGACTCAGAAACACCTACTGTGCTCAGTGATTGCCACATGGACCCGGTTGGGAAACAGAGGCTGTGGCAACTCTGGAAGGGAAGAGTACTGTCTCCATAGCCTGAGGCTGTGGGCAGCTGACCAAGCTTTCTGCTATAAAAGCAGGTGACACTTAGCTTCACGTGCCCTCTGTCAACTCAGTCTCAGGCAGGGACATCAGGTAAGCAGAGCTGTGTGAGTCTATCCCACACTGTAGGCTTTCCTTGGGGAGGGTTGGGGGATGGAGTAGCCTTCTCTGAGAGGGCAAGAAAGCACAGATCAAATGCCTGAGGATGAAGGAAGTGGAATGAGGATGAGAAAGGATTGGAGCCTTCTAGCAGAAGTGTGTGTGTGTGTGTGTGTGTGTGTGTGTGTGTGTGTGTGTGTACACTGACGTCCCTCTAATGCTCCATCCTATCCCTTCCCATCTAAGAGAGAGCCATTTTCAGAATTTTGTAGTCTGGGTGATACATGCCAGGCCAAAGCTGCTTCTTGGGTCACAAATCTACTTAGTCTTCACTCTACCACCAGTAGCTGCAGCACCCATGCCTTGGGGTTCTTCCTTTCAGGTGAGCAAATCTTTAGCTACAATGCCGTCTGAACTAGAGGCAGCCTTGGAAAACATGGTTACTGTCTACCACCAGTATTCCTTGACAAAAGGGAATCACCATGCCCTTTACAAGGATGATTTGCAGAAACTGCTCAAAATGGAGTGTCCTCAGTACATGAAGGTGAGGAGGTGCTGCCTTCTCAGGTTTTCTAGGATGCTGGGGTGGCTGGTCCTCTGTGCTGCTTTCTACAGAGAGCCATTGCTTTATTTTCCCTAAGAGCTTTACAGTCTGACTTTCTCTCCCACTCTTCTGGACAGAATAAGAATGCTGAAACCGTGTTCAAAGAGTTGGACATCAATCAGGACAATGCAGTTAACTTCGAGGAGTTCCTTGTGTTGATGATAAAGGTGGGCGTGGCAGCCCATAAAGACAGCCACAAGGAGTGAACTTATGCTGAGCTTCTGGCTTGGGGCTGGGCCCCTGGACATGTCTACAGAATAATAAAATTGTCATACCTCAGGCCTCTCTGAGTCTCTTACCTTTACTAAGGGTTGGAAAGCTGGAAGGAAGAAACCCATTGGCTTTGCCCTTTCTGCTTACTGTCCTTTGGTCTGTTCCCAGTGACTGTCACTCTTCTCAACACTCCCCAAAGTTGTTCTGAGTCTCTTCTGACCTCTGCAGTGGTTCTAGGATCTAAAAAAAAGATTATAAAAGTCTCTAACTTATATTTGATAGTTTTACTGGTCGGTGCTGAATGGGATATTTGGGAACAGAGGAATGTGAGGCAAACAGATGCTGTGGGACACAGCTTAACTTCTAGTTAAATGCCTTAGATGTGACTTTTTGGAAATTAGTGGGATAGAGATGAAGGGTGTACATATGGGAATGGAGAAGAGCAGTAGAGAGAGGGAGGAGGAGAAGGAGGGAGGGAGGGAGGAGAGAGGGAGGGAGAGAGAGAAGACCCATTCTCTGTACTGTGGCAGGTAGATGGTCTTTAGTCAGACCTTAAGTGCTAGAAGAATACCATTTGGTACCACACCTTGTGTTTCTTCACTTTCACTCCACAATTCCAAACTCAGTTAAATGGTACAGGGATGGGTGGATAGGTCAATGTGTTCCTAAAGCTCAAAGGATAGCTCTGGTCATCTGTGCACTGGCTAATGTCCCCATCATTTCATCTGTAGAATTCTCTAGGGCCTGGTACAACGAGAATGTTAGAGAACTTTCACCTGGGTTTAGCCATTGAACTGGATTTCTCTCGATTTTTTTTTAATTTAAAAATTTATTATTATTTTAAAATAAAAAATTAAATTTCATGTATGTTCTGTATTTACATCATCCCCCCCCTCTTCCTTCTTCTCCTTTCAACCTCTCCTATGTTATTCCTTCACTCCCTCTCAAATTCATGGCCTCCTTTTTCTATAATTATAATTGCTAAATACATGTGTGACTACAAACTGCTGAATTCATTCAGTGTTGTTCGTGTATATGTTTTTAGGGCTGACCACTTGGTATTGGATAACCAGTTAAGGGACTCATCCTTTGTTGACTGATTCTCCATCTCAGCAGTTATTAATCGCTTATACTCTTCACCTAAGGGTGGAACCCCATTTCTCCCATTCATATCACCATGCCAATTGGTGTCAGAATTGTTCAAGTCTTGTTTAGGCAGCCATATTGTTGAGACTTCATGGGGAAAGCTTTCCTGTCATATGGAGAAGACGCAGTCTCGCAGCTGATGTTGTAGTACTCTGGCTCTTAACAGGATTGCTGAACCCTCTTCTGTGATGTTTCCCAAGTTTTTCATGTAGGATTGTGCTACAAATGTATCAGCTGTTGCTGGGTCCCACAACATTGGTTATTCTCTGTATGTAGTCGACCAATTCATGGCTTCTGTAATATTACCTGTTGCAAAACAAGCTTCTTTAATGAGTGGTGAAAGATACACTTTTTGGTGGGAATAAGGATAATTAATTATCTAGACTATATTGGAAATGATTTTGGTTTAGGAAAATGGCAGTTGTAGGCTCTCCTCTAGGGTCTACCATCCACAGGTAGATGGCTATGATCACAATATAGGCATGGATTCTTTCCTACTGAGTGGGCCAGTAGATGGTTGTTGGTTGCTGCCCAGAAAGTAAGTGTCACTATGGCACCACTGGGGAAATCTTGCCTTACTGTCCTTGCTTTGCTTCACGGGCTTCACATATGTTTATGACTTTTGGTTGCTTTCCTCCCTTGTCAGCCTTCCTGTACTATGAAAGCTAATCTTAAGAGAGGAGGCTTCTGGGTCAGATTCAAATCAGTTCCTCCAAATTTTATGTTTGAAGTGTGTGGCGTCTTGGAGAATAAGGGTTTACCTTCAAATTCTGGGAGACAGCCAAGGACAATAACAACCGTCTATGTTGTTTTGGGATTTGCTCAGATTCCCATGATCCAGTAACTCTAAAGGAGGAATGTTAGATAAGGTTTCTATTGTTGTGATAAAACAAAAGTAACTTGGGGGAACGAAGGGTTTATTTTGCCTATATTTCCAGGTAAGAGTTCATCACTGAGAAAAGTGAGGGGAGGAATCTAATAGCAAAAACTGATAAGGAGACCACGGGGGGGGGTGGGGAGCATATTGGCTTGCTTCTCAAGGCTTGCTCAGTCTTCTTTACAGACCACTAGCCCGGGGATGGGGTGAGGGATCGGGAGGGGTGGGGTCACTGCTTCCGCTGAGCTCTGCCTTCCCATGCCAATCACCGGTGAAAACAGCCCAGAAGCTTGCCCTCAGACCAATCATGTGGGGGAATTTCCTCAGCTGTGGTTCCTTTAACTCTAGCTTGTGTTAAGTTGACATATAACTAGCTAGTACAACTGACCCCTTGTCAATCTGATGTATCTGCTAAACCATAACCATTTCTTCTTATTCATCCCTAAGATCTCATATTAATACTGATATCACAATACAAAACAAACAACTTTAAACACCCTACAGTCTTTAGTCTCTTTAAGTCACCCATGGTCTTTTTTTCAATGTTCAAAGCCACTTCAAAATATCCAAAGCCTCTTTAAACTCCAAAGTATTTTAACTGGGGGCTCCTATAAAATTAAAAAAAAAAAAAAAGTTAAACACTTTATTACTCCAAGAAGGAAGAACTAAGGCACAGTTGAAATCAAATCAGAGCAAACTCAAAACCCAGCAGTTTAAAACCTCACTGCTTACTGTCTGGGACACACTCATCACCCGCTGGTCTCCAAAGGGCCCGTATCACTTCTCTGGCTCTGCCCCCTGCAGCACATTGTTTCCTAGGCTCAGACTGGCTCCATTCCAGGGCTGCTGCTTCCTTGGTGGTTGTCCGATAGTGCCAGCATCTCTAAAATGTTGGGGTCTGTATCGCAATGAGGCTGTACCTTCACCAATAACCTTTTCTTGGTTTTCTTCCGGGACTATGACCCCAACACATGGTGCCACGCCTCAACTTTTCTCTGATCCCTTCAATCCTGGAGCTTCTACTTCAACTGAGGTTGCATATTCTCACCAGTTGCCTTTCCTGGCCTCTCACTGTCCCAAGCCTTAGCGGCTCTTTATGATATCTTCATGCCGTCAAAACCAGTACCACTTGGGAAACTCTTATATATTACCAAGTTTGATTGCCAGCATAAGGTACAGCCTTGGCTCCCTCTGGAGCAGTTTGTGTGTTGACCCTGAGAAAGCACTTCCCAGAAGATTTCACCTCAGTGATGCTGGACTTTTCTTAATCACAGCTGGCTTCTCAACCCCAACTGACCAGCATCAATTGTCCCTATAAATCAAAGTTTCTCTTTAGTGGTGCTTAATTCAAAATATCGAGCAGTCCCAATAGAGTTTTCAAGTCACTCAAACTTTCCTCTGAAACCCTACAAGCCAGACCTCTATCCTCTGCACTGCTGTCAGCATTATCTACTAAGTTCCCACAATAGCTCATTAAGCTCTGAACATCCAGTGACTTTTCTAGCCCCAAATTCCAAAGTCCTTATATGCTGCTCTCCAAACATGGCCAGATCTGTCACAACAATACTCCATGATCTGGTACCAATTTCTGTTTTATTTAGGTTTCTATTGTGGTGATAAAACATCATGACAAAAAACAACTTAGAGAGCAAAGAATTTATTTCATAGTACAGCTTGTGGTCCATCATCCAGGGAAGTCAGGACAGGAACTTAAGGCGGGAACCTGGAGGCAGGAACTGGAAGAACATTGCTTACTGCTTTGCTTCCCCCATGGCTTGTTCAGCCTATTTGCTTATACCATCCAGGACAAACAGCCCAGCGGTGGCACTCAGTGACCCAGGCCTTCCCACATACGTCATCAATCAAGAAAATGTTCTTCAAGCTTACCTATAGGGCAATTTTGTCAGGGATATTTTCTTAATTGAGGTTCTTTTCCTCTAAATGACTCTAGCTTGTGTTGACATTAAAATAACCTGCATAGGAGAGGTTTTCTTGCCTATGGCCATTGTGGAAATCATTATCAACCCAAGTGAAATAACTTTATTCATATATTTCCTGATTTATGAGGTTATTTCAGGTTAGGTACTCACATCTGAACATGAGGCAGTTATCTTTCTGGATGAGGGCTGCCCCACTCAATATAATAGTTTCTAGTTCCATGCGTTTACCTGCAAACATCATCTTTACAGCTGAATAGTATTGCATGGTGTATATGCGCCACATATTATCCATTCATCCGCTGAAAGATGGTTAGGTTGTTTCCATTTCCTAGCTATTGTGAATAGAACAGGGATGAGTGAGCACCTGTTCGGTAGAATGTAGAGTCCTTTGGTCACACGCTAAGGAGTGGTATGTAGAGGGCAACAGGTCCTTATGCACACAGATAAGCAATGGAGAAGCCAGAAAAGTTAAACACACTGACATCCTTCAAAGGAAGGAGATGTTTAACATGTCTTCCTCCTGGAATGCTGGGAATGGACGTAGTTTACAACCTGATGATCCTTTGCTGTCTGTCTGATGAGCCAGGCTCTGCCCATATCTCCCAGAATTTATGTTTTATTTATCTCGGACTCTTTCTCCCTAAAACCTTGATTATTACTTGTAAGTTATAAAACTCATCCATGTGAGAGATGTCATTTGTACAGCCTAAGTATCTCTCTCCTCCAACAGAAGTATAGCTGGTCACATAGTAGACTTACTTGGAGCTTTTTGGGAATTTTCCACTCCTTTTTCCATAGTGGTGAACCAGTTTGTACGCCCAGCATCAGTGAATGAGTGTTCCCTGGTTTTGTCGATCTTTTCTGCTCTGATTAGGGTAAGAGGAAATCTCAAAGTTGTTTAAATTTACATTTCCCTAATTGCTAATAGTATTGAACACATTTTTCTTTTCTTTTTTGTTTTTCGACACAGGGTGACTTTATATAGCCTTGGCTATCTTAGAACTAGCTCTGTAGACATGACTGACCTCAAACTCACAGAGATCCATCTGTTTCTGTCTCCTGAGTGCTGGGATTAGAGTCATGAGCCACCTCTGGCTGGCTTG